CACACACACACACACACACACAGTATTTAGCACATAAACACCAGTGTTCAGAGAGACATTAAGCAAGAAAAGTAACCAGTTATGAGATGAGACTAATCAACAAGTAAATTGCCAAAATGGGTGAATTAGACCTTTCAAAAATGTAATACCATCACCCCACATGAAAATTATAATGGTGGGATATATTTTGAATATCCATGAATATTTTTACAGTACACCAGCCTGATTGATGCTGCAAGAAGGGAACAGCTCCAGTTCCTGACCACATTTTTACTGTTGTTTATTGTGATTTTAAAACAGGAGGATTTTGTATGTAAACAACTCTGAAATTGTGTCAAGATGGGGCAAAGTTAATTGACCTTGGAGTCAATGATACTTTTGCCGATAATGTATGTCCTGTGTTGCCATCAGCAGGACATCCGGAGAACTACATCCCATTGCAATAAATGAATTGGCGATGAACATGTCGTCTACTAAAATAAAAACCTTTGTAATGTTATCTTTAGGCGGCCCGGTGGTCGTCTGGTTAGCGCATCGGCCTCACAGTGCAGAGGTGCAGGGTTCAATTTTGGCTCTGGCCTTCCTGTATGGAGTTTGCATGTTCCCCCCGTGCCAGCGTGGGTTTTCTCCGGGTACTCCAGTTTCCTTCGACATTCCAAAAACATTTAGTCAATGGAACACCCTAAATTGTCCCGACGTGTGAGTGTGAGCGCGCATGGTTGTTTGTCTATGTGTGCCTTGTAATTAGCTGGCTACCAGTTCAGGGTGCACCCAGCCTACTGCCCGATGACAGCTGGGATAGGCTCCAGCACGCCCCATGACATTTGTGAGGATAAGTGGATCAGGAAATTGATGGATGGATGTTATCTTTAATGCGCAGGGTATAAGAAAAAAAAATATTTAACATTGAAACTACACGAGGAGTCAATTCCACAGCCTTGTGTAAATAAATATACTGGCCAATTTCTCATCAAGACAAGATGAGGACGGAGGATAACATGATAAGAATAAATAAATAGAATCAGGTCAAAAATGCTCATGTAGGATTACACTAAAAAGTTCTGTGGGAACAGAAAAAAAAGCATTGACATTGTTATAAAATATTTTCTGACTTGTTTCAGTGAATGGCGATAGTTACACCAATTCGCAATAATTTTTGGTGAGAGAGCTATCATTACGAGAAATGATGATTAGCTTTATTGGCCAAGTATGTTAAAACAAACAGGAATTTGTCTCCAGTAAAAAAAAAAAATATATATATA